CTTCTCTGAGTCTGAATTCTTTCATCTGTAAAATGGGAACCTCTAGAGCTGTTGAGGGGAAGAAATAAGATTCAGCCTTAGCCTGCCAGAGTCAGTGCCTGGCCTAGGGAGATTTCGCAATAAAAGTTTGCCATAATTATTATGATCGTGATGTCCTGGTGCCTAGGACTGAGTAACTGTAGAATAAATGTTTGTTAAATAAACCAACGAACCCTTGGATATTGCTCAGTTAGCCCTCTTTTTTATTTCTACCAACTCTTCCCTGAGTTCCAGACAGCTGTCTTGCAAATTGATCACTCCCAAGGCGAGGCAGCAGGAAAGAATGGCTGGATCAATGGGACTGCTTCCCTTGGAAAAATACATCATGAAAAGCTTGATAGGCTTGTCTTGGGGAGGTGGGGGTGGGGCTGGAGAGAGCCTCAGCTTGTATCCTTCAAAGGAAAGGAGGAAGAAAAGAGCTCCCCCCCCCCCACTTTTTTTTGAGATGAAAAACAATCTTCTTAGAGGAAAATAGGGGATGACACCAGGCAGATGTCTTGCTGAAGGTTGGTCAGTGGCCCCCTGGGGAGGAAAAAAGCAGCCCTCTCCACTCTGGAAAGGGCTTGAGGGCTCCCTTAGGCAACCAGAGCCCGGTAGCTGGCCTCACTCCCTTTTTACCATCTCCTGTAAGGCTGGGGGTGGGCACATTCCCACAGGTCAGCCCCTTGGTTAGTTTTCTCTAGCTCCCATGGACCCTTTCAGAACCCACATTTTAGTACACTCCAGCCGCACTGGACTTCACTGTGTTCCTGGATTTCTCCCTCTTCCCACGCCCAGGCTCATGTGTCCCCCTCCCCTCCTCACTTCCTTCAGGCCTTCCTCAAACCTCACCTCAGGGAGGCCTTGCCTGACCAACACGGGTGACATGGCGACCCCCAGGTGCGCCTTATCAGTCACCATCCTGTTACCCTAAGTTTTTGTGCTTGCCTTTTTAATATTTTCTAAAATATGTTTTAAATGTTTAAAATGTTTTTAAAGGAAATATTTCTGACCTAAAATAACCCCTAGGTACCCATCTCCCAGATTGGACAAGTGCTAATAATATTCTGCCCTATTTGCTTACTTTGGATCTCCCCCTTTTAATCAACTTTATTAAGGTGTAATTTGCATACAATAAATTTGATTTTTGGCAAATGCACCCATGTCACCACCACCATAATCAAGATACAGAATATTTCCCTCATCCCAGAAAGGCCCCTCATCCCCCTGCCCTGCTGGATTTTTCTCCCTAGTCCTCAGTATTATCTGAAATCACCTCATTTGTGTCTCTTTAATTTGTCTACTCTCTGCCTCCCCCAGCAGAGTGTATGTTCCATGAAGGCAGGGGCTATTTGCTCCCCAGTCCTTGCACATTGTGGCCCACAGTCACTCTGTCAAGGTCATGATACTGTATTTATTATTCTTGTGCGCACATCGTGACGCACAGAGAGATACATCGGTGGGGAAAGTTCCTGGAAATGGAAATACTGAGTCAATGAATATTTACTTTTTTTGCTATTGTAAAAGAGATATCTATCCCCCTTTCTGTCTTCTATCTCTTGTGTCTCAATCAGCGCTGTTGGCATTTTGGGCTGGATCATCCTTTGTTCTGGGGATTGAGGGGCTGTCTTGTGCATTGCAGGATGTTGAACGGCATCCCTGGCCTTTACCCACTAGATCCCAGTAGCATCCCCCACCTCAGTTGTGATAATCTGGAATGTCTTTAGATGGTGGTGGTGGTGGCAGCAAAATTATCCCCATTTGAGAACCACTGGTCTATGTCTTTAGGCTAATTTCCTGCCATGTTGTTTTGTTCCTCATTTGGGTCCATCTCTAAATGAACCACCCTCGATGACACTCGATTTGCCGAATCCATTTTTCACCAAGTCAGCAGACTGAATTACAAGTTAGGATCCCTACCTGTAAAGCTGTATCATGAGATGAGCAGCTGGTTAGTTGTAGAAGCAGGGAAGGCTTCACGCTAAGTCCACAAGGATACGAAGGAGCCAGCAGCATTCTCAGTATTTCTTATCTCAGGATAAATATGTCTGCAGGGTAAGGCTCTGAGGATATAACATCTTCCAAGCCTTCAAGAACAAGGGGGAAACCCTAGCAACTGTGTAGAGGGGCTCTGAACTTCCTCGATTGCTCAGGACACTGAGTTGACTATTCCTGTCTTGAAAAACCTGCAAGCTCAAATGTAGAGCAGTGAAGAATAGATGAGGACCTAATGAAATGAAGGAGGCAGGTCCCATCCAGGGGGATGCTGCGCTGTGGCCAGATGTTGCCAGGTGGGAATGTGGGCCCAGCCTTGCCAAAACTTCTCGTTTTTCAAGAAAGGCAGGGAATCCAGATTTTGTTTGAAAGTGTGAAATATCTTGATTCTTGAATTTTATAATAATTATCAAGTAATTATGTTTAAACTTGATGTGGGCCAAATAAAACACATCTAGGGGCTGATAGTTTGCTACCTCTGAGTTAATTGAGATTAACTCACTCAGTACAGAAATCTTTTGGTTTGACTGGGATCCAGTCAACACATGTTTATTGAGTATCTACTGTGTGCCAAGCTATGTTCTAGAGCTGCCACTTGACATAAATTTGCTGGAATGACTGATAATGAAAAGGATGGATAGAGATTATGGGTGGGTGAGTGGGTGAATGGATGGATGGATGGATAGATGGGTGGGTGGATGGATGGTTAAAGGAAGGATGGGGGATGGATGGATGATGGATAGATGGATGGAAAAAGAAAGGATAAATGAATGGATGGATGGTAGATGGGTGGATGGAGATTGAATAGCTGGTGGACGATTAGATGGGTAGATAACATAGATCAATCTGATCTTCTAGAGATATATAGTAAAATATTATAGAAAAATAATATGTCTGGGAATTACTTCAGAGTGATATGGGGAGTTGAATGAGGGTATAGGTAAATCAAGATTGGCTGTGAGATGATAATTATTGAATCTGAGTGAGTTTCTTTGTACTTTTTTTTAAGATTTTATTTATTTATTTTGACAGAGAGGGAACACAAGCAGGGGAAGTGGGAGAGAGAAGCAGGGTTCCCGCGGAGCAGGGAGCCCGATCCAAGGCTCGATCCCAGAACTCCGGGATCGTGACCGGAGCCGAAAATGACTGAGCCACCCAGGCACCCCTCTTTGTACTTTTCTGCCTTCTTTTGAATATGATTGGAAATTTTCCATACTGAAAATATTTGTTTTAATGTCCTTATCATTTAGAGGGACACTCTGAAGGATAGCCAGGTAAAATGACATCATGTCTGGGATGTGGTTTAAAATACTCAGCTAAAATTTTTTGCAAATCAGTGTGTAGATGTGCTGTGGCCTGAATGTTTGTGTCTCCCCGAAGTCCACATGTTGGAATCCTAACGTCCAGTGTGATGGTGTTGCAGGATAGAGCCTTTGGGCGGTGATTAGGTCATGAAGGTGGAGCCCCCATGAGTGGTGTCAGTGCCTTATGTGTGAGGCCCCACAATACTCCCTAGTCCCTTCCACCAAGTGAAGACAGAACAAGAAGTCTGTGACCCAGAAGACAGCCCTCACCCAGTCATGCTGGCACCCAGCCTCCAGAACTGTGAGAAAGAAATTTCTGTTGTTTATAAGCCGCCCAGTCTGTGGTATTTTTGTTATACAAACCAAGACAAGTACAGACTAAGACATGATGAAGCAGCCTTTAGCAAAAGAAGTATTCTGATAATTGTTGCCATTGGGTGGTGGGTATATGGAGATTCGTTATACTGGCCTGTGTAATTTGTATATGGTTGCAGGTTTTTACAATAAATTTTAAAAAGGGGCGCCTGGGTGGCTCAGTGGTTAAGCATCTGCCTTCGGCTCAGGTCATGATCCCGGGGTCCTAGGATCGAGCCCCGCATCAGGCTCCCTGCTCTGCGGGGAGCCTGCTTCTCCCTCTCCCACTCCCCCTGCTTGTGTTCCCTCTCTCGCTGTGTCTCTCTCGTCAAATAAATAAATAAAATCTTAAAAAAAGAAAAAGGGACAGAGAAGTGGGGGCCTCCTGTTTTCTAGGTACTTTTGGAAGTGTGGAAGGAATCATGCTCTGGGTGAATTTCCCACCAGTGTGGTAGTGTTGATACCCAGGGAATGGGTATTTTTTAATAAGGGATGTCACAGGCTGAGTGTTGGCACGGTGAGACTAGAAGCATGGGCTCCGTTGTGAACTGCAGGTTGAGAACAGGTTTCTCAGCCACATTGTTGCTCTGCAGGGTATTCTGCCTCCCAGTTTTCCTCCTTCCAGTTACCTTGCAGGGAGGCAGAAGAGCATAGTGGTCAGATTATCTGGAATCAGCCTCTCTGGGTCCAAAAGCTAGTGCTACCACTTTCTGGCTGTGTGGCCTTGGACATGTCATTTCCCTGTTTGATCCTCCGTTTCATCCATTAAATAAGAGTAATACTAACATCTTCCAGATTCATTATGAATATTGAACTAGTTATTACATACAAAGTGTGAACACAGAACTTGACATGTAGCATTTATGTGTTATCATTATTGATGTTTTGTTGTTAGTATGTTGTTGCTGCTATTATGCATTCTAAGAGCAGAAAGAACTTTTTTTTTAAAGATTTTATTTATCCATTTGAGACAGAGAGAGAGCACGAGCAGGGGCAGGGGCAGAGGGAGCAGGAGAGAATCTGGAGCAGACTCTCTGCTGACCACAGAGCCTGACATGGGGCTCGATCTCACGACCCTGAGATCATGACCTGAGCTGAAATCCAGAGCTGGACGCTTAACCGACTGAGCCACCCAGGCGCCCCTAGGACTTTCTGAGATAAATGGAATAATTGGGGGCAGAGGCTAAAAGAAGTCGAAGAGGCACCCGTTGTTGACTGATCCGCCCACAAAAGCCCATTTGTGAGCTGCTGGGGTCAGTTTGCTTCATGGTAGGTACAAACAGGACTGCAAGAAAAAAGCAACTTCCCGACCATTTCTTTTCCCTGCAGAATGAAGTAGAGCTGGGGGAGCTGCTTCTGTCACTGAATTATCTCCCAAGTGCTGGGAGACTGAATGTTGATGTCATTCGAGCCAAGCAACTTCTTCAGACAGATGTGAGCCAAGGTTCAGGTACAGTGCGACCCCCTCCCTCCCCCATTTCCTTAACGAGGCATCTCTGTTTGTTTGACCCAGGGCCAATTTTTTTTTTTCTGCATTCCGGATACTATTTTTTTTTTTTTAAGTAATCTGTTCCCCCAACATGGGGCTCGAGCTCTTTTTTTTAAATTTTATTTTATTATGTTATGTTAATCACCATATATTACATCATTAGTTTTTGGTGTAGTGTTCCATGATGCATTGTTTGCATATAACACCCAGTGCTCCACGCAGAACGTGTCCTCCTTAATACCCATCACCAGGCTAACCCATCCCCCTCCCCCCCTCCCCTCTAGAACCCCCAGTTTGTTTCCCAGAGTCCATAGTCTCTCATGGTTCGTCTCCCCCTCCAATTTACTCCCCTTCATTCTTCCCCTCCTGCTATCTTCTTCTTCTTCTTTCTTTTTTCGTAACATATATTGCATTATTTGTTTCAGAAGTACAGATCTGTGATTCAACAGTCTTGCACAATTCACAGCACTCACCATAGCACATACCCTCCCCAATGCCTATCACCCAGCCACCCCATCCCTCCCAGCCCCCCCCACTCAGCAACACTCCATTCCTTTCCTGAGATTAAGAATTCCTCATATCAGTGAGGTCATATGATACATGTCTTTCTCTGATTGACTTATTTCACTTAGCATATGCATTCCGGATACTATTAATAAAACCCCGCAAGGATAAACAAATAGCATTTAGAACTAGGATGTTAGATTCAAGAGGGAAATAAACGATCAGATGTCTCTTAGGATGAGGCAGGTAAATGATGGTATCTCAGTAACCCCGTTCGAATGGGGGATTTGACTGAGACCACGTGTGATAACTACTGACCTCTAGATCCTCTGTGCGCAGCAGCCCCCAAGGAAGTGACCCACCTTTCCAGATGCTGTACCTGCAATGGAGATGCCATGCTCCAGGTGGCGCTAGTGTGTACTGGCCCTGCAGTCCGAGCTGCCGGAGTCGGGGGCACGCCCTGAGGTTCCCCCCCCTTCCCCCCCGCCCCAGCTCATTTCAAGTGTACCTTGAATCTTTATAAATCCCAACTCTGAAAATACTGTTGTATTTAAAGTGTCTACTTTATAGCAAACCAATTCAGACATGACTTTTCATGAAATGGAACAGATCACATTCCATCTGTACGGAGCTTCTCCCATGACAGCAAAGGATATTATCATGAAAGTAGCTGGGGTCTCTGGGACCTCTTCAGCTCAGTGGAGAAACTTCTGTCTCCTCTAAGTACAGTAGCTAAAATAAATTACTTTTGCTAGAAAGTGACACCTGCGTTTAGAAGACAACTCACATTCTCAAAAACCACATTATAAAAATAGAAGTTTGGAAGGGGCCAGTGGAGGGAATGGTGTTAAGGCTGGAGAGTTTCAGACTCACCACGATGGGAGAGGCAGTATGATAAAATGATTAAAGGTTCTGGAGTCAAACTGCCTGGAGCCAGGTCCTCATTCTACTGCTTATAAATGATGTTGGCCTTGGGGAAGATACTTAACCTCCATAAGCTTCAGTTTCTTCATCTGAAAAATTGTGATAACAACAGTATCCATCTCATTGAGTTGTTTAAACAATATTAAATTAGATAATGTACATGAATTTGTAAACTGTAAAGCGATCTAAGAATGATAGTTATTAATCTGCCATCTCTGAGCTCCTGTGTATGGAGCTGTGGGATCACTGACATGATAAGGGATTCCTAGGGACAGAAAACCAGGACAGACTCTGGGTCTGGCTTTTCTTCCACTAGTCTGATCTTAAGCAGGCCATTTCCTATCTTGAGTCTTCAGTTTCTTCATCTGTAAAATGAACACAATGCCTGACACGTGGGAGGAGCTCAATAAATCTTGGATGGCTGGAGGAAGAGAGAAAGGGATGAACAGATAAGCAGCTAGATGGGAAAAAGGAGGGATGGATAATGGATGGATGGGAAAATGGATGAATGAAAGGAGAGGTATCCGCCTGGACTGATGGAAGGATTGATGGAAAAAAGAGAGATGAAAGGGTGGGTAGGTGGTTGGGTTATCAGATGGATGGGAAGTTGGATGGATGGATGGATTGAGTTTCATGAGCTCCAACATTCTATAATTTTGTGTCCAATTCTCAGACCCCTTTGTGAAAATCCAGCTGGTACATGGACTCAAGCTTGTGAAAACAAAGAAGACATCCTTCTTAAGAGGCACAATTGATCCTTTCTACAATGAATCCTTCAGCTTCAAAGTTCCCCAAGAAGAACTTGAAAATGCCAGCTTAGTGTTTACAGGTAGGTAGTGGTTCAGACCCTGATGAACTCCAGGCGAGGCATATTCCACTTACTGTCCTAAAGATAGGTGTCTAGAGATGGTAATATCTGGTATTCGGCTACCTGGGTTTGAATCCAACTGTTTGTGAAGTTGGTCAAGATTCGTAGAACTGTAAAGCATAATTATTACCACTGTAAACTTTGGAGCCAGATTTCCTAGCACTTCCCCATAATTGCTGAAGCCTTGGGCAAGTTACTTGGCCCCTCTGAGTCACAGTTTCTTCATGTCTAAAATGTGGGCAATCATAGTACCTGCTTCATAGGTTTATCAGATTCAGTGAGATTGTAAAATTAAGTAATATCTAGTCTAAAATAATAAGTGCTCACCCTGTTAGTTTTGTTGATACGGTTGATTCAAGTAGCTTGTAGTCTTACAGGAAAATGTAAGTAGTATGTCACCTAACTTGGAGAAGAGGATTTTAAAAGGCTTCCCAGAGGACATAGTGTTTAAGTAGAGGCTTCATGTGCTACTCTGGTTGAATTTAATATATTGTCTTCAGGGTGTATTAGTTATCTACTGCTGCATAACAAATATAGTGACTTAAAACAACAAACATTTATTAAGCTCATAGTTCGTGTGGGTCAAGAACCCAGACATAGCTTCGGTGTGTACTTCTGGCTGAGGTTCTCTGACAAGGCTGTAGTCAGGGTATTGGCTGGGCCTGCAGTCTTACTTAAGGCTCATCTGGGGGAGGATCTATTCCTCAAGCATACTCACATAGTTAGTGGTTGGCAGCTTTCAGTTTCTCACAATGGAGATGCATTGGATTGGAGGCTTCTGTTCCTTCCTGGATGTTGGCCAGTGACCTTCCTCTGTCTCTCACCACATGGGCTTCTCCATAGTGCAACTCACAACTTGGCAGATGGTTTCCATCAGAGTGGGCAGGTGAGCAAGATGGAAGCCAGAATGGCTTAGCCTGATGAGGGGTATTAAAGAGGGCATGTTCTGCATGGAGAAAAAAAAAAAAAAAAGATGGAAGCCAGAGTCTTATTGTAACCTAATCTTAGAAATGACATCCTCTTACTTTTGCCATATTCTGTTCATTAGAAGCAACCCAGTAGGTCCAGCTCACATTCCAGAATTATAGAAGGGCGTGAATACTGGGAGTTAGGGATCATTGGGAGCCATTTTAGAAGCAGGCTCCTACCATGTCGAGTTAATAGAAGTAATGGTTATTATTTCCTGTGTCCTGTTCCCAGCAGGGGCTTCAGCTTCATTTACTTTATTGCTCATATGCATCATAATTCACCCTGTCAAATCAGCATCATCCTCATCGGCTTACAGGGCTGGGGACTGAGGCTCAAAACCTGAGCAATCCACCCAGTCTCAGACTGGTAGAGTCAAGATTTAAGCTCTGGTCTTCCTAGCTGCAAAGATGAAGGGGTCTGCATTTCCCCAAACATGCAGGTAGGGCTGGCATGAGGAACTGACCTCACACTGAGGATTCGTGCTCCAGAGCAATAGGAAGCCTCATCTGTTTAGATCTAGTCTAAAATCCTTAGCTGCAGGTCTTCCAAAAAAGAAGGCCGTGGCTGAAAAAAAAATCCTTGCATGCAAGGCTTCCTCTGCACGTGCTTACTGCTTCTCATCACCAAGATTGCAGATGCTCTGTGCTCCAAGACTCCTCTGAGGCAGGTTGGTTCTGGGTTTTCTTAGGGCCTGTCACCCAGAGGGTCTGCATCCAATCAGGGCCTGCCTGCCCTAAGCAGGTATGACAGTCCTGTCTGTTGAAGCCTAGGATGGTTGCTGTCCATGGGTCCCACTGTCCCCAAGGTTTCAGGTTAAGCAGAAGACCGTGATTCCACTGAATCTTTAAATGCTATGGAGCAGGCAATGGGAACTCTGTTGAACCAAGATAAGATCCAAGCATGGAGTGTTGATTCCCAAGTCTCTACTGAGAATAAAGGACTTAATGTTGCACATTTAGATCAGGAGGGGACCCCAGGGGGGGCAGTGAGTGCCCAGAAGGAAAGCCCTGACACTTTTATATTTTACTTAAGATTTTAGGAAAAAAGTAGCACATGCTTTATATTTTACTTAAGATTTTAGGAAAAAAGTAGCACATGCTGGTCACAGTGAGTGATACAAGCAAAGGAGGAGTTTGGATGGAGAAGAGCAGAGGGGTTAAATGCACCGGCTGTGGAGCCAGGGCCTGGGTCTGGGCTTTGTGACCTTGAGCAAGATCTGTATGCTTAGCTTTTCTCATCTGTAAAATGGGTGTAATCGCACCAGGACGACTTGAAGGATTGTTATGTGGATCAGATGAGAACAAGACATAATCTTTGCTGAGCAACGTGCCTCGTGCACAGCAAGCACTCAGTAACCATGAACTATTATTAAAAAGCAATGTTGCTCTCTTCTTCATCCCCTTTCCAGTCCTTTCTCCTAGGGGTTGCCACCTATAACATCCTGGTATGCCTCATTTCACACTTTTTTCCTCATTCACACAAACATCATCCGCGTATAGAAGATTCAGCTCTTTTAGGAAGTTATTCATTCATTTCGCAAGTGGGTATGAAGCACTTTCTCTGGGCCAGACACTGTTTCCAGGTGCTGGGAATATAGCAGGAGACAAAACAGACAGCCCCTGCTCTTGGGGAGCTTGGCGGACCCTTCTGTGGACACCACCGTGAAACTGGCTTTTGTTTCGTTAACAACTGAATGTGTCCAGTCCCTCCAGGTCAAAGCAAATGTGGATGCACCCAGCTCTTTATTTTTAATAATTGCATTACGCATGGTGGGGAGCAGGGGAGGATGTGGGAAGGTGAGGGGTGTGTGACAGAAGCTTGAGGTGTTGCAGTGAGAACTCGGGAGCACCCTTCCCAGAAAAACACCCCGAAGGGCAGAAAACTTTGCCTTCTGTTCAGACGTTTTTTTCAACCCCTTGAGTCCCCTGTGTGAATCCCATCAGGCAAAAGCCTCAAACTGGAGTAGCACCCCTGCGCCCCGCCCCCATACGTCTCTCATTCAACCCGCCACTTCGGGTGGCCGTCATCAGCTGCACCCATCAGATAAGGCCCGTGCCCTCCATTTGTGGAACACCTGCTTCTCCTGTTTAAATATTGGGGTTTCATGCCCCCAGCTCAGGGGCGCCTCTCGTCAGGTTAAAGCCCATTGAAAATATTCTTTCTAGAGAAGGAAGGATCACAGGTCTTCCTGCCTTTTTTTTTTTTTAAATAAAGTTTTATGTTCCAAAATGCACAGTTGGTGGGATCTTGTTCATGCATCTTCACCACCAGCTCGGACATCTCCACCCTTGGTGTTTCTGGTATAAATTACTTGATCTCTGTGCTTTGAAACCAGTTTAATAAGACCTTTCCTAAGGAGCTCCCAAAGGGCTGCCCTGGCCAGGGAACCTCGAATCTTCAGTCTCTCAGAAACAACAGCTGGAGTTATAAGCTTATAGTTGGGAACTTCCTTAAAGAGTTTGTCATATGTCGCTTTGTCAAACAAGTGAGCTTGTCCCGAACTTTGCCTTTGGACCACTTCTTCTTTTTGGCCTTGCCCCCAGATTTGTTCACTGGGTCTTTGTCTTTCTTGGCCAACTTTCCGGCATCTTTCTTCTTCTTGTCATCCTTGGGCGGCATGGTGAGGCTGGGAGAGCAGCGTCGTCCACCCCGGCAGCCTCGCTAAGATGTCGGACAAAAAGCCTCCCTGCCTTCTTAAGTAAGGGATGCTCAACTCGGGCTACACTTCAGAATCAGCTGGAGCTTTCAGGTGCTACCAGGGGCGCCTGGGTGGCTCAGCCGGTTAAGCATCTGTCTTGGGCTCAGGTTGTGATCTTGGGGTGCTGGAATCGAGCCCCACATTGGGCTCCCTGCTCAGCGGGGAGCCTGCTTGTCCCTCTCCCTCTGTTTCTCCCCCTGCTCATGCTCTCTCATAGGTAAATAAAAATAAGTAAATAAGTAAAGTGCTACCAGTGGCCAGACCCCACCCCCCGAGACTCTGACCAAGCAGACTAAGCTGGGGACATCGGCTGTCTCTCTATCTGTGTATATGTATTTTTTAAAGCACCCCAGATATTTCTAATGCTGAGTCAGGGTTCGAAACCATAGCTGTGAGTGGAAATCCCGGCTGGGATGGCATTTTACCTGTAAAGGGCACTGACCATAGTGATAAAAGCAATGCAGGTTGTGCTGGTATCTATCTGGGTAAAGCTACAATTGTGCCAAATTCGGATCCATGATGTTCTACTTGCTTTATGTACCAGCCAGGGGAAAGAACTGTCACCTCCGCGCTAAGGATCTGAAACCTAGCCCATTAGCTTGTTTCCAAACACTTCATAACAAAAAAGTAAGGTTGAGCTGCACTAGGAGCATTCGTGGAGAATCCTGGTGAAAGCCTGTCATTAGCCGGCAGGCTGGGCTGGCTGAGCAGTTCCGTTCCTGTGTGGGATGAGGGTTTTTCTGCAGTTTTCAATCAGATGATTTCTGCAGCTGAAGTTTAAAAAAGGGGGGGAAATTGCTTTTCAACTCGTGAGAGAATGACGTGCAGCCCAGAGGCCTTCCGGGAAAGTGAAGTAGAATTAGCCACTGAGGTTAGTGGGCTATTCTTGGAAGTGGGGGGAGAAGAGAAAGAAAAAAAAGAAATAGAGCTTGATGAAGCCTTTGCAAAAAATCAAAAATAGAATTACTCTGTGATCCAGCAATTCCCCTTCTGGGTATATCCCCAAAAGAACAGAAAGCAGGCCTCGAACAGACATTCACGCGCCCATGCTCATAGCGGCGTTATTCCCAGTAGCAGAAAGGAGGAAGCAGCTCAGGTGTCCATCGAGAGCTGGATAAATGGATAGATAAAATGTGATCTGTCCATTCAGCGCACTGTTATTCAGCCTTCAAAGGAGGGAAGTGGTCACATGCTACAACATGGATGAAACTTGAAGACATTCTGTTAAGGGACATGAGCCAGATATGAAAGGGCAAATACTCTAGAATTCTACTTATATGAGCTATCTCCAGGA